ACTTGTCTGTGTCCTGGCCAGAGCCTGCCTCTGATACCCCAGCCCCACCCTCCCTTCTACTCCCTTTCCACACATAACCCAAATCTTCTGCCCCTCTCCTGGGCCCATACTCTTCCAAGACCCTGCATCCCAATCCTCTGCCCCGTCATAATCCAAACTCCTAGCCAGACATGCAACAGCACCATGCCCCTGTCCTGTCACCCACCTGCACCCTGCTCCTGCCTCCCTTCCCCTCCCCCCGGCCAGATAACTACTCCCAGCTGACTCCTGCACCCTATCTCCCACCCAGATTCTGTACCCGCATCCCTATCTCACTCACTGGCAGCTCTGTCCTGCCCACTGGGCCCCTCATTTTGGTCCCACCCCAGAATCTAGTCCTAGGGCATCAGAAATGTAAATCTGGCCTATGGGAACCCCTGAACCTCAGTCCTCCCTATCTCTTCCCTTACCCCATGGGGCTGGAGTACCAGGGGAGTGAGGTGTCTCAGTGAGGTGTCCACTTCAGTGACAGTTAGAGGTTTCTGGAGGAGTCAGGTTTTTTTATTTTCACCTGTGTGATCCCAAACTGATTTTCCTGTGGGACAGAGACCCCCTAACCCAAAAAAGGTTCCCCACCCCTGCCATGAATAAAGACACTGTTGAAACCTTTTGTGTTGGACATAATAGTTTACTTTATTTAAAAATGAAGCCTGGCCAATAAGTCCCCAGTTGGGGCCCAGCCCCCATCTGGCTGCAGCATCATAACACTCCTGCACCACCTCCCGCACCCCAGGCTTGAGCTCATCATACACCTTAACCCCCTGCCCTAAGCCCCTCTTACCCCCACATCCCCATATTCCTGCATCCCCACATCCTGGCTCCTCCTGCCATAACACTCCTGCACCATCCACACATCCCAACCCTGTGCCCTGAGTCCATCATACACCCAATATCCCTGCCTAAGCCCCTCACATACCCCAACCCAAACTGCTGCACCCCCATATCTCCAGCCCCCACCATAAGATTGACAGAAGACAGCCTGAATGCCTGCAGGAATCTGGATTTGACCAGTTATTAGGTAAACTTCAAAGAAATGTGCCAAAAGATACAGCAGTAGAAGTCCCATTAAATAAAGTCTGTGAGTACAACGTTTCATTTATGCTATTATGAATCACAGTGTCAATTATTAATAATATTAAGTTGGATATTTTCTGTCATGCAAATGAGCATTCTTATATGGCTCTTTGTTGACCACTTGTTCTGAATTTTTGATACAGGTTGATGTAGGTTGGCTCTTTGGTTTGAAAAGGTTGCCGACCCATGGGTCTTGTCTGGATTCTCCTATGTCTAACAAGGTTTGAGTTCTGAATGAACCTTTTCCTGAAAACAAAGAAGATATAGGGATGCACTAACAGGAATGTTGTATACAAGACATGAGAAGTAATTCTTCTGCTCAACTCTGTACTAATTAGGCCTCCACTGGACTAATGAGTTCACTTCTGAGCACCAAATTTCAAGAAAGATGTGGAGAAATTAGAGAGGGTCCAGAGAACAACGACAAAAATGATCAAAGGTCTAGAACAGGGGTCAGCAACCTCTCAGAAGTGATGTGCCAAGATTTAACTTATTCATGGATTTGTGTGCCGGGGGAGGGGGAGCAGGGGCAGGCTGGGTATGGTGACCATATTTTCCGAACCAGCTACAGCTAGGGAGAATGATTTAATTTAAATTATGAAACAGATTAAGCGTTTTAACTTTTTCATGTTAGTTTATCAAACTTCATTTTAAATAAAATAAAACAAAAGGTTTCCATGTTTTCTTTATTCATGGCAGGAGTGGGGAACCTTTTTTGGGTTCGGGAATCGTAATTTATGTCCAACACAAAAGATTTCAATGTTTTCTTTATTTATGGGAGCCTTTTTTGGGTTGTGGGCCACTGACCCACAGAAAAATCAGTTGGCAACTTCATAAGTGAGAAGCAAAAAACTCCTCCAAAACCCCCTCACTCTTACTGATGTGGCTCCCAACTGAGACACCTCACTCCTCTGGTGCTCCAGCTCCATGGGGCAAGGGGAAGGGACAGGGAGGACTGAGGATCAGGGTCTCCCATAGGCCAATTTTCTTTTCTGTGGTTCCCAAGTTAGTGGATTTTATGGACCCCTTTAGGCTCTGGGGTAAGGACAAAAATGAGGGGGTTCATTGAGTGAGACAGGGCTGCCAGTGAGTAAGATAGGAATGGGGTGCAGGATCTGGGAGGGAGGTGGAGTGCAGAAGGGGGAAAGGTTGCGAGGTCTGGATGGGAGGTAGGACACAGAAGCAGGCTGGGAGTAGTGTGTCAGGCCAGGTGGAGGGAGCAGGAGCAAGAAAGGGTGCAGTGTGTGGCCAGGAGAAGGTGCAGGAGCAATGGTGGATGCAGGAGCAGGGTGGGGGTAGGTGTCTGGCCAGGCCAGGGGGGAAGGTGCAGGAGTAGAATAGGGGTAAGGTATTTGGACAGGAGGGAGGTTGCAGGAACAAGGGAGAGTGTCTGAACAAGCTGTGGGGGTGGTGCC